AAGAAGAAGAAGAAGAAGAAGAAGAAGAAGAAGAAGAAGAAGAAGAAGAAGAAGAAGAAGAAGAAGAAGAAGAAGAAGAAGAAGAAGAAGAAGAATTGACTGTTGGATACTGGAAGTGCTATGTCTATTGAAGTGGTAAAAGCAAAAGAGTTTTAGTGGAGTATATATAGTGTCTGCTTTACAGTGTATATGAAAGAGACATAGCTTGTTAAAGTATTTTTAGTACTATCACATCCCAGTAATGGGTGAACAAAATTACTGAGGAATTTACATATATGGGAAAGGTGCACACTTACTTCAATCAATTTTGCCAACTTTTCCAGTGCCTCAAAATCTTGACTTGGCCCCAAGACTGTCAGATACATAGTCTTCCTTTCTTTACCACTATCTAGTCAATGATACATCTTTCGCTCACAATTAGATTCAACAACTAATCTAACTTGTAATAAATATTCTAAATAATCTAACTTACAGTAAATATCATTCTAGATTACCTTTAAATTATAATTCATAATTATACACATAATTTCCCTTTAATCATGCATAGAATGAAACAGTCATTCACAAAGCATGAGAGAGGTAACATAAACACACATTTGAGATGATAGGTATGTTTATAGAAAGGTAAAAGAAAACAAGATTTTTTTAAATTGTAAAACACAAAAATAATGCTATTTTTTAAACTAGTTATGGTAAACATGAGGTGTAGTAAAGTGACATATGATGTACCAATGATTCATAAATAACCAAGAAACAATAAAAACGCACCTTAAACTCTGGAAACAATTGATAAAACCCAACCTCTACAGAAGCTCCAGGACTATTCTGATCAATCTGATATCTCTTCCCCTGAAAATGTTACAACTATGCAATTCACACACCCTATGGAACCTAGAATTAATTCAAAATAATACACTTAGAAAAAAACCAAACTTTTGGATTTCTTCAAGAAAAATGAGAGAAGAAACAAATCTAACAAATGTATTGTAATAACAGGTCACTATCATCATCATCTTTCATCAACATCATCTTTATTTATTTATTTATTTATTTATTTATTTATTTATTATTTTTTGGCAGAACTAGGGATTAAACTCAGGTCCTTGTGCTTGCCAGGAAAGCACTTATTCTACTGAGCCATCTCCCTGGCCCAACATCATCTTTAAAAAACACTCAAATAAATAAGTGAAGTGTTGTGCTATGATAAAAAAGAACAAATTACATGTTCTCCATCCCCATACTATAATGGAAAAATAAAGTGTGAATTTGTAAATAGGATAAGAGGCAAATTATTAGAATGATAAATCTTTGAAGAGAGTTTTGCTTCAAGGTCCAAAATACTCTGGCAAATACAAGACTTTCATGCAATGTTTCTTGCTGAGACAAATGAATATCTCAATTTAGAAGATTTGAATATTTGTACTGGACAAATATGAGTGAGAAGCATTTCCACTGGAACTAAAGGATAAGTCTCAGCACGGGATCTGGGCTGTACTTACGTTACGAAACTGTGTAAGAAAATAAAAAGTTAATGTCTTTTTAAAAGCTATCTTTATAACAGTACATCCCTAAGGCACCATACATATCAGTTCACATTCTAAAAGAATGAATTCATTGAAAGAAGTTTTAAAACATTTTTCAAATCTCCCTCATTCAATAAATATTTATCAGGTACCTTTTAGGTCAACGTTATGAGGAGTGAGTGTTATGGGACCACTGATGCCCACTTTCCTGGATTATATTGATTAGTGGGAATGACCATTTACTCAGATGATTACAAACTGCTCATAAATTGACTTCTGTGAAAGGTAAAGGGGAGGCAACAGTTTTCATGAAAGCCTAAAAGAGAACAAACTTCATCAGGAAGATAAAACAATATCTGAGAAAACAGCATGAAAAGTAAAAGATGACACATTAATGATGCATAAATATGATACAAGGAAGAAATTTATCAGAAACAGACAAAAAATATTATGCACTTTTAAGCAGGGTAACCGGCTGGTCAGTAGCCACTATCCAAACATTCTTCTATCAACTACCACTCCATCTTCTAGATCATCCCAGCACCTAAGCACCCCTCTCTAGGTACACCACATAAAGGGCTAATGCCATCACAGCAATGTGTTTCCAGAATGGTGCTCTAGCCCATGTCATTTCTGATTAGTGAGGATGCTCAACTGCTGGCAAAAATTCTGGCAATCACTTGTGGGATCAGAGAGTAGGATGGATTTGGTATCTTAAGGGGTTATGGTCTATTTCAGGAGCAGAAAGAAGAGCTGAGGGTGTGGCTCAGGGGCAGAGTGCTTCCTTAGAGTGTGAAGACCCTGAGTTGAATCCTGTGCATCAAGTGGGAGGAGGAGCAAGCCCTTGAGATGGAAGGTAATGGCCCGATCAGGGTGGTGTAAAATAAGACTGCAGATGTATAATGGAATCAACCTTATATGGCTAGCCAAAGAATATTAGCCATCACGTAAAAGTTTTCAAAATGTGGTAAGTACTAGCCTTCCTTAGTCTCTATGGCACAGGGCTAGAGCTTATGTTGGTGCTAGACCATTCTTTAAGAACTTAGGAGGATTCTGAGTGGCCTCAGGGAGACAGGAGAGCTGTGATCCGCAGGCCCAGTGAGAGCAGTTGCATAGCTCTCCTGGAGCCACTTAAGAACTTGGGCAGATTCTGGGCAGCCTGCAGGACCCTGTGTGGGTGATGACTGGAGGCTTCAAAAATGACAAAACACAAAAGCAAAAGGCAGTCTCAATCTTATGGCCCACCCACAACAAATCCACAAGACAAAGACAGAGAAGAACTTGAAATCACAGACCTGAAATTTCAGAAATGATAGCAACTAAAATAAAGAAACAAATTCATCTGTTTATAGAGGAAATAAAACCAAAAATAATATCTCAGGTCCAAAAAGAAAGGACAACAGTTGCGAAAGAATTGCTCAGAACAATTAAAGAAGGCATATAGAAAAGTAGAGGAGAATACAAAAATGATGGAGGGAAAAAGCCTCTATTTCTGGGGAC